ACAGGTATATCCAGTCCACCCTGTCGAAGGCTTTTTCAGCATCGGTGGATAGAAGTAGCAGTCGGTCTCCTGAGCGTTTGGCGAGGTGTTGGATGGAGAGGGCCCGCATTGTGTTGTCGCGAGCTTCCCTTCCTGGGACAAAGCCTGTTTGATCTGGGTGTATCAGTCTAGGAAGGAACGAGTTGAGGCGACTCGAGAGGACCTTGGTGAATAATCTGATATCAATGTTCAGGAGAGAGATGGGCCTATAACTGCTGCACTGCTCTGGGTCCTTTCCCGGCTTGGGGAGGATGGTTATGGTTGCTGCCAGCGTGTCATCATGGAGCTTGTCCCCCGTTGTGATTGCGTTCATGCCTTTGGTTAATTTTGGAATGAGCGTGTTCCCGAATTTCTTATAGTATTCAAGAGTGAGTCCATCGGGACCCGGTGCCTTGCCCGTCTTTGTTGCTTTGATTGCTTTAATTTCTTCTTCAGTGATGGGAGCATCCATGAGTTCCGCCTTGTCTTGGGTTACGTGATTGGTGAGGTGTCATGCTAAATATTGTTGAATCTCCCTTTTCTTGGTGTGTGCCGGGATGGTAGGGGGCTGTGAGTACAGATTATATAGTTGAGTGTAGTAGGCTCGAAATTAATTCGCAATTTTTTCAGGGTGTTGAGTCGTTTGTCCTCCGGGTAGTTTCAGCTTGTGCACTTGCGCAAGTGTTTGTTGGCCTTTGAGCATATGGGCTAGGAGTTTGCCTCCTTTGTTGGCATATATATAGTAAAAGGCGTTCGAACCTCTGTATGTCAGGATCAAGACAGGGATCCAACACGCAGTGTACTGAAACTATAAAGACGTATACCGGACCTTAGAGTGGCCGGACTAACGTCACATAAACTAAGAATGGTCAGGGACAAGCCGAGGTCGAGGAAACAAGAAGACAGGTAAGCGAAGGTCAAGACGGGTACAAGGATAGGAGAGAACAGCAAGGTCAGGATACAAGCCAAGATAATTAACCAGAAAACCAATCACGAGAGATGCACTGAGGGAACAGACAAGCTGAAACCACGACAGGGCAATGACTCACTGTAAGTGAGTACTTTTTATAGCCTGGCTCTTTAATTGATGTCCACGCCCCCAAAACGTCCTGGTTTGACTTTTTCGGCAGTTTGTGACATCATTGATGTCATGACATCGGCGGAATTGCGCCGCGTCATAAAAGGGGGCGGGGCGATCACGGCCGGCCTCTAAAGTATCGAAAATGCTGGAGGAGAAGCAGGTCTGTGATTCAGGTACCATGACAGTACCCCCCCCTCTTAGGAACGCCCACCGGGCGAAAGGAGCCAGGACGAGACGGAAAGCGGCATGGAATGCCCGGAGAAGGCGAGGAGCGTGGATATCCGCATGAGACACCCAGGACCTTTCTTCAGGACCATATCCCTTCCAGTCAACAAGATACTGTAACTTCCCACGAGAGAAACGGGAGTCAAGAATGAAATTAATCTCATATTCCTCCTGACCCTCAATTTGAACAGAAGAGGGAGGAGTCGAAGCCGAGTTGTATCTATTACAAACGAGAGGTTTCAATAGTGAAACATGAAAAGAATCAGGAATGCGCAATCCAGGAGGGAGCGCAAGTTGATCGGCAACTGGGTTGATCTTCCGTGAGACCTTGTAAGGCCCAATGTAACGAGGTGCGAATTTCATGGAAGGAACCCTTAAACATATGTGTCTGGTACTCAACCATACCTTATCCCCTGGGTGAAAAACAGGAGCAGGTTTTCTGCGCTTATCCGCGTGACGTTTAGATAAAGCCGAAATGTGAACAAGAATATGGTGAATCTGATCCCACAACTTCCTCAGATTGGCGACCTGGATATCAACCATCGGTATACCCTGTGAAGAGGACACCGACGGAAGAATAGTAGGATGAAAGCCATAATTCATGAAGAAGGGGCTATTACAAGTAGAATTACAAACCAAATTGTTGTGTGCAACTCTGCCCAAGGAATCAAATCAACCCAATCATCTTGATGTTCAGACACAAAACAGCGCAAGTATTGTTCGATCTTTTGGTTGGTAGGTTTGGCTGCCCCATTAGATTGGGGTTGGTATGCCGACGAGAAATTTAATGTGATGCCCATCTGGGAACAGAAGGATCTCCAAAAACGAGATACGAACTGGGGACCTTTATCCTAGACAATATCCGTAGGCATTCCATGCAAGCGAAAGATTTCTCTTGCAAAGATCTCAGCCAATTCGGGTGCAGAAGGTAGCTTGGGTAATGGGATAAAATGTGCCATTTTAGTAAATCTGTCAATAACCGTGAGAATAACTGTTTGTTTCTTAGATACCGGCAATTTAACAATAAAGTCCATAGCTATACTAGACCATGGTT